GCATTACTTCTTCAAAATGCCACAGCAATCTGCTAACATATTGCCCGATTATATTTAGTTTTGATACATATTTTTAGAGATCTTGCAAATTTGTTATCGTCGTTAGAAAAATCCTACTATCTTCTATAAATTTCCAGAAAGTACAACTTAATTTAGTAGGCTACTTATTAAAAATATAGTTTAAGTATATTAGTAAATCAAAAATACATATTCACCGCCTTGCTTCATCATTAATTTAATGGTGATCATTTCAATCTGCGATTGTGTTGACCAAATAAAAGCAATACTAATCAGAAAATATCATGACAATCCGTGGACACAAAAATGCGTGTGCTCGTGTTTTCGTCGGAAATTCGAATATTCGAATATATGCCCAGCCATACTCAGTATCTAGTTATAAATGACCTGATTAATGTTATGTGAATAAACTTGCTTTTTATGTTTTATGAGAATTTTAACGTAAATCGTAACTTGGCTGATAGTTAACTTACGCAAAAACATTTGCGGCCCGCTGTGAATTTCTGGCTCGTTGCGGACTCATTCAAACGCTTCGCGGACTCATTTGAGATCGCGGACTCGGGTTGGGAAACACTGGATAGGATACTATATAGGTAGGCTTACCATACGTTCCGCTTCAGGCAGGACAGTCCCGCTTTTTTAGCGTCTGGTCCCGCCGTCCCGACAAGTCAGCCAAAAGTTCCGCTTTGGCGTTCAGCCATCCAGCATAATACACGAACATGTTCTCGTTACTGTTGTTGCTGTGCAGCGCAACGCTAGCCCACTTGATAAAGGTGAATGCGTTATTTTGTTTGTTTCGTTGTTTCCCGCTATCACTGTGATCGAACGTATCACATGTAAAATCAATTCTAATTGATCCTGTTCGGACGTTCACGTGAATGTAACATTCAACAACGTCTTTTTGAAGGTATTATCTACAGAAAAAGTATGCTTGGGCAAATAAGTAAATCTCAATGCTTGAAAACGGCAGACTATTTCTTTATTCCTTTTGCTGTACATAAAAAATCTAAATTCGGAGCATTTGTATCGTTAGCGTCTATTCCTTTCTATTTTTTGAACTGAACCCGATATTTAGACAGAGAATATGCGCATGAACTCTCGATGACAATATTATGGTCAACGAAGACAGCCGGGATGGCTTTAAATGTAGGCCTATGTAGTAAAATCGGAAACTGTAAAGTTACAGGATCACAGCTAAGGGGTCGTATCTTTGGAGGCGTTCCGCTTTGAAGTCAAAAAAATATGGTAACCCTATATATAGGGGATCATAATATACGTTCTTGATTTATTGTTTTTTATACTTATCAATGGGGTGCATGCAGTGATGAGCTGGAAAAATCGTAACAACCGGAACGCACTTAATTCGCAAAAATATAATAATTTACAGCACGACGCGGACGTTTACAGAATGTTTTGACTGTCCTAAGATAGAGTCGAAGAACTGCAATGAAATATGAAAAAATTATCTAAAATATGTCTGTGTAGAATTACAAGAATATTCATAGCAATTCAATACAAATGTTATTTTTTAGAAAGGTAAAGGGTGAATTTCCATGGGGATAAAAGTCGGGAAAATATCCATTACACGTTACTTCTGTACTAATTATTCGCGTGATGTGATATAAAAAGAATTATGAATTATAATGTAACAAAACATAAATTAATCAACAGTTTAACCAGAGAAACTGGACTTTTCATACCATAATTTTATTTTAACAACCGGAAAGCAAATGCAATAAAATGTCTAACAACCGGGACGCCGTTCCGGTTACAGCTCACCACTGTGTATTGTATACCCTGTCGAATTTGACTCCTGGCACGGGGTCTCCCTAAAACCAGGCACTTGCGAATTCAGGCACTTTGATATTTTTTATTTTTACCGTACGTAATTGGGATTTCCAATTTACCTGACAAGATAATTAGACTTTAAATAATTTTTTGCATCCCTATATTGCAATAAAACAATATTATTCCAATTTATTAGGGTATAAATAATTTTTCAATAGTAAAATGTGGCAACATTGATTACAAAATATAGAAATCAGGCACTTGTGAAATTTCAGGCACTTGGTCAAAACCTATTTTACAATGTATCTGATTACTCTAAAACAGAAAATTAAATATATACACTTTGTATGGTTGAATTTACAACATTTTGGTAAAATACAATACCGTTTGTGACTGATGGAGACGTGTCATATTTCGCAAGTGCCTGATTTTTCATTTTCCTCGGTGACAGTTGCCATATTTTTTCGCAATTATTTCCTTGAATTATTTGCGTCAGCACTTACTATTCTTTGCTTTCTAACGCAAATTCATTGTTCCACAACAATTTGAGCGTTTTTAATATTGCAATGAGCAATACCATTTGACAACATATGGTCAACCATCGTACTTTCTGGATTTATTTGAAATTGAATATGAATAATAAGATCTGGCAAACTTAAGCACAAAATACGAAAACCAGGCACTTGTGAAATTTCAGGCACTTCGTAAAAACCTATTTCTCGATGTTTTCACTTACTTTGAAGCAGAAAACTAAAATATACACTCTTTTGTATGATTGAAATGACGTCTTTTTGGTAAAAAACAAGAACAATTGGGACTGGTGATGAGGGGTCAAATTTCGCAAGTGCCTGATTTTTCATTTTTTTCGATTACAGTTGCCATATATTTTTGCAATACTTTTCATAAAATCTTTTTCGTCAGAACTTACTAATCATTGCTTTTTAAAGGAAATTCCTAGTTCTACAACGATTTCAGCGTTTTTAATAATGCAATTAGTAATATCATTTGACAACATATAGATAACCATCGTACTTTTTGGATTTATTTGAAATTGAATAGGAATGATAAAATCTGGCAACGGCAAGCACAAAATACTAAAATCAGGCACTTGTGAAATTTCAGGCACTTTGTAAAAAACCATTTCCCGATGTTTTTGATTACTTTAAAGCCGAAAATCCAAATATACATATTTTGTATGACTGAATTTGGTATTTTTATTGTATTATATGTCGGGCGTATAGTTTCTTCATGTCGCGAATGAGCATCAGAATAGGTTGTGCAGAAAATGGTGCTCCCGTAGTATGTGCACAAAGTTGGCACACAACCCGAACATAGTATGTGTACCAAGATAGAGGTAATAGGTTGTGCGCCATCTTGGAGCACATAGGCTACTACGGAAGCGCCCTGAAATACCCACTTTGCAACACGACTTACCGAATACAAATTTTACACTTCCACAATTTCGCTTTCGATACTTTCTCACATGTATCATGATACCAACGCTTGCAAACGAAGCATTGATATTGTACGTGCTCCCGTATACATTTCGCACTTTAACAGACACTCCAATTATTATTTTCCAGAAAGCAAAATTCATGCATCGGAATGGCAGAGTATATGAGTGGCGACGATGCAGTGCGACAACGTTCCAAATGTGATTGAATTTTTGTTGACTCCGACTTGTTCAATCTTCCATCTGGGCGTTTTGAAGAGGTATGTACTCACTTCAAATATAAATACTTGCACCACCTTCGGGCAGACGTCAAATTGAAATTAGCGATAAGAATAGCACTCAATATACATCGGATTGTCTTAAAAAACATTTTACCGAGAAAGCAAAGTATAGTAAGTACTAAGTTCTGACGAAAATGATTTTATGAAATATATTGCAAAAATATATGGCAACTGTAATCGAAAAAATGAAAAATCAGGCACTTGCGAAATTTGACCCCTCATCACAAGTCCCAATCGTTTTTCTATTTTACCAAAGAAGACGTCATTTCAATCATACAAAAGAGTGTATATTTTAGTTTTCTGCTTCAAAGTAAGTATAAACATCGAAAAATAGGTTTTTACAAAGTGCCTGAAATTTCACAAGTGCCTGGTTTTAGTATTTTGTGCTCGCTGTTGCCAGATTTTATCATTCCTATTCAATTTCAAATAAATCCAAAAAGTACGATGTTTATCTATATGTTGTCAAATAATATTGCTCATTGTAAAAACGCTGAAATTGTTGTAGAACTAGGAATTTATTTTAAAAAACAATGATTAGTAAGTTCAAACTCAAATAATTTAGAAAAACTGTTGCGAAAATATATGGCTAAAGTTATCGAAAAAAATGAAAAATCAGGCACTTGCGAAATTTGACCCCTCATCACCAGTCCCAATCGTTTTTGTTTTTTACCAAAAAGACGCCATTTCAATCATAAAAAAGGTGTATATTTAGTTTTCTGCTTCAAAGTGTATAAAAACACCGAGAAATAGGTTTTTACAAAGTGCCTGAAATTTCACAAGTGCCTGGTTTTAGTATTTTGTACTTGAGGTTGCCAGATTTTATTATTCATATTCAATTTCAAATAAATCCAGAAAGTACGATGGTTGACCATGTGTTGTCAAATGGTATTGCTCATTGCAATATTAAAAACGCTCAAATTGTTGTGGAACAATGAATTTGCGTTAGAAAGCAAAGAATAGTAAGTGCTGACGCAAATAATTTATGAAAATAATTGCGAAAAAATATGGCAACTGTCACCGAGAAAAATCAGGCACTTGCGAAATATGACACGCCTCCATCAGTCACAAACGGTATTGTATTTTACCAAAAAGTTGTAAATTCAACCATACAAAGTGTATATATTTAATTTTCTGTTTTAGAGTAATCAGATACATTGTAAAATAGGTTTTGACCAAGTGCCTGAAATTTCACAAGTGCCTGATTTCTATATTTTGTAATCAATGTTGCCACATTTTACTATTGAAAAATTATTTATACCCTAATAAATTGGAAATAATATTGTTTTATTGCAATATAGGGATGCAAATAATTAGTCAAAGTCTAATTATCTTGTCAGGTAAATTGGAAATCCCAATGACGTACGGTAAAAATAAAAAATATCAAAGTGCCTGAATTCGCGAGTGCCTGGTTTTAGGGAGACCCCCTGGCACGACATTTGACGTTTTTCTTCATCATTTAGATCTGTACAGTGTATGTACGCTTGGTAGCAAGATATAACCACTGTGAAGTGACTCACATGCCTTCTTCTATTCCTGTGTAGTGGTGCGATGAATCTCTCGTCTGTGTTCAGTGAAGAGTGGTGGTGTGAAACATGGGCGAGTCCTAAATTCAACACGGAGAAAATTCTCTCGAATTTGGGATATGAACTAAATACATTCCGATAAGCGGTAAATCAAGTACATTTTACGGTAACTTAGGGATAAGAATTTCAAGAAATATACCGTATTTTTCTAAATACCTTATCAAAAAGTATTCACCCGTCTAACAAAATAAGATCTGAGCAAGTCAGTTAATAAGATTTCGTAATCAAAGGAGTTTACTCTTCAGAGAATATACCATTATTAATGCCAGTGCTACTATAACGAGAGAACCACGTATCCATATACGACTTTGAAAAGGTTTTAAAACCAGGACAATTACAGGCCTAAGTCCTATAGCCAGGGCTGCCATCGATATTAACCCCACAATAAGGACAACAGGGAAACATAATCATAAGATAACAAAGAACGAAATGTAATGAACCAAAATGTATTCATGCCAGAGCGACCAGGGTCCAATCATACTTTTCATTAGCAAAGATTTTCTACATAAGTTCTTTAGTCCTAAAAACTATTAGTTCCATCTCACTTCTAAGTTGTATTTTGCTTCTAGATAAAATCGTAAAATTATGCACTTTTCAAACATTACTCACATGTCTTTCCGCCTAAGTGGCACGATTGATACTAAAACAGTTCTTAAACTCCACACAATACAATTGGAGTCGATGGGTACAAAATTTTGAAATTATGCGTAATCCATTGCTGAAAAAAGCCTATTTCGCATATATCGTCATAGGTGAAAAATCGTAAAATTATGCACTTTTCAAACATTACTCACATGTCTTTCCGCCTAAGTGGCACGAGATTTCATTGATTGATACTGAAAAAGTTCTTAAACACCACACAATACAATTGGAGTCGATGGGTACAAAATTTTGAAATTATGCGTAATCCATTGCGGAAAAAAGCCTATATCGCGTACATCGTCATAGGTGAAAAATCGTAAAATTATGCACTTTTCAAACATTACTCACATGTCTTTCCGCCCAAGTGGCACGAGATTTTATTGATTGATATTAAAAAAGTTCTTAAACTCTACACAATACATATGGAGTCGATGGGTACAAAATTTTAAAATTATGTGTAATCCATTGCTGAAAAAAGCATTTTTCGCCTATATCGTCATAGGTGAAAAATTGTAGAATTATGCACTTTTCAAACATTACTCACATGTCTTTCCGCCCAAGTGGCACGAGATTTCATTGATTGATACTAAAAAAATTCTTAAACTCCACACAATACAATTGGAGTCGATGGGTACAAAATTTTCAAAATTATGCGTAATCCATTGCTGAAAAAAGCCTATTTGAGATATATTGTCATAGGTGAAAAATCGTAAAATTTATGCACTTTTCAAACATTACTCACATGTTCTTTCCGCCCAAGTGGCACGAGATTTTATTGATTGATATTAAAAAAGTTCTTAAACTCTACACAATACATATAAAGTCGATGGGTACAAAATTTTAAAATTATGTGTAATCCATTGCTGAAAAAAGCATTTTTCGCCTATATCGTCATAGGTGAAAAATCGTAAATATATGCACTTTTCGAAATATTACTCACATGGACTTTCCGCCCAAGTGGAGAGATTTATATTAGATATTGATAAGGTTTTAAAATATACACAAACAACTTGAGTCGATGGGTACAAAATTTTTAAAATTATGGTAATCCATTGCTAAAGTGCCTATTCTCAAATATCGCATAGGTCAAAATCGTAAATAATACACTTTTCAAACGTTAGTCACATCGCTTTCCGCCAAGTGGGTAGAGGTTTTATATTGATATTGATAAGTTCTAAAAGTCTACGCAAACAACTTGAGTCGATGGGTACAAAAATTTTAAAATTATGCGTAATCCATGCTGAAAGTGCCTATTTCTCAAATAATGGCATAGGTAAGAAATCGTAAAAATACACACTTTTCAAACGTTAGTCACATGGCTTTCCGCCCAAGTGGGAGAGATTTATTATTGATATTGATAAGGTTCTAAAGTCTACACAAACAATTTGAGTCCAAGGATACAAAATTTTAAAATTATGGGTAATCCATTGCTGAAAAGTGCCTATTTCTCAAATATCGGAATAGGTTGAAATCGTAAATATATACCAACGTTTTCAAACGAGTCTGCATGCTTTCCGCCCAACGTGGGGAGAGATTTACTATCCAGATATGATAAGTTTTTAGAAGTCTACAACCAAAACAACTGAGTCGAGTGGGTACAAATTTTAAAATTATGCGTAATCCATGCTGAAATGTGGGCCTATTTCTCAAATTATCGGCCATAGGTCAAAAATCGTGAATATATACACTTTTTCAAACGTTAGTCACATCGTTTCCGCCCAAGTGGGGAGGAGATTTTATATTTGATATGAGGGAAGTCCTAAAGTCTAACAAAAACAACTTGAGTCGTATGGGTACAAATTTTTAAATTATGCCTGTAATCCATTGCTGAAAAGTGCCTATTTCTTAAATAATGGCATAGGTAAAAAATCGTAAAAATACACACTTTTCAAACGTTAGTCACATGGCTTTCCGCCCAAGTGGGGAGAGATTTTATTATTTGATATTGATAAGGTTCTAAAAGTCTACACAAAACAATTTGAATCGATGGGTACAAAATTTTAAAATTATGGGTAATCCATTGCTGAAAAGTGCCTATTTTTCAAATATCGGAATAGGTTAAAAATCGTAAATATATACACTTTTCAAACGATAGTCTCATTGCTTTCCGCCCAAGTGGGGAGAGATTTTATTATTTGATATTAATAAGGTTCTATAAGTTTACACAAAACAACTTGAGTCGATGGGTACAAAATTTTAAAATTATGCGTAAACCATTGTTGAAAAAAGTCTATTTCGCATATATTGTCATAGGTGAAAAATCGTAAAATTATGCACTTTTCAAACATTACTCACATGTCTTTCCGCCCAAGTGGCACGAGATTTTATTGATTGATACTAAAAAAGTTCTTAAACTCCACACAATACAATTGGAGTCGATGGGTACAAAATTTTAAAATTATGCGTAATCCATTGCTGAAAAAAGTCTATTTCGCATGTATTGTCATAGGTGAAAAATCGTAGAATTTCGCACTTTTCAAACATTACTCACATGTCTTTCCGCCCAAGTGGCACGAGATTTTATTGATTGATATTAAAAAAGTTCTTAAACTCTACACAATACATATGAAGTCGATGGGTACAAAATTTTAAAATTATGTGTAACACATTGCTGAAAAAAGCATTTTTCGCCTATATCGTCTTAGGTGAAAAATCGTAAAATTATGCACTTTTCAAACATTACTCACATGTCTTTCCGCCCAAGTGGCACGAGGTTTTATTGATTGATATCAAAAAAGTTCTTAAATTCTAAACAATACATATGAAGTCGATGGGTACAAAATTTTAAAATTATGCGTAATCCATTGCTGAAAAGTGCCTATTTCTCAAATATCGGCATAGGTCAAAAATCGTAAATATATACACTTTTCAAACATTACTCACATGTCTTTCCGCCCTAGTGGCACGAGATTTTATTGATTGATATCAAAAAAATTCTTAAACTCTACACAATACATATGGAGTCGATGGGTACAAAATTTTAAAATTATGTGTAATCCATTGCTGAAAAAAGCATTTTTCGCCTACATCGTCATAGGTGAAATATCGTAAAATTATGCACTTTTCAAACATTACTCACATGTCTTTCCGCCCAAGTGGCACGAGATTTCATTGATTGATACTAAAAAAGTTCTTAAACTCCACACAATACAATTGGAGTCGATGGGTACAAAATTTCAAAATTATGCGTAATCCATTGCTGAAAAAAGTCTATTTCGCATATATTGTCATAGGTGAAAAATCGTAAAATTTTGCACTTTTCAAACATTACTCACATGTCTTTCCGCCCAAGTGGCACGAGATTTTATTGATTGATATTAAAAAAGTTCTTAAACTCTACACAATACATATGAAGTCGATGGGTACGAAATTTTAAAATTATGTGTAACCCATTGCTGAAAAAAGCATTTTTCGCCTATATCGTCTTAGGTGAAATATCGTAAAATTATGCACTTTTCAAACATTACTCACATATGTTTCCGCCCAAGTGGCACGAGATTTCATTGATTGAGACTAAAAAAGTTCTTAAACTCCACACAATACAATTGGAGTCGATGGGTACAAAATTTTAAAATTATGCGTAAACCATTGCTGAAAAAAGTCTATTTCGCATATATTGTCATAGGTGAAAAATCGTAAAATTATGCACTTTTCAAACATTACTCACATGTCTTTCCGCCCAAGTGGCACGAGATTTTATTGATTGATATTAAAAAAGTTCTTAAACTCTACACAATACATATGAAGTCGATGGGTACAAAATTTTAAAATTATGTGTAACCCATTGCTGAAAAAGCATTTTTCGCCTATGACGATATAAGCGAAATAGGCTTTTTTCAGCAATGGATTACACATAATTTTAAAATTTTATACCCATCGACTCAAATTGTATTGTGTAGAGTGTATGAATCTTTTTTATATCAATCAATAAAATCTCGCCCTTCTTGGGCGGAAAGACATGTGAGTAATGTTTGAAAAGTGCATAAATTTACGATTTTTCACCTATGACGATATAGGCGAAATAGGCTTTTTTCAGCAATGGATTACACATAATTTTAAAATTTTGTACCCATCGACTCAAATTGTATTGTGTAGAGTGTATGAATCTTTTTTATATCAATCAATAAAATCTCGCCCCTCTTGGGCGGAAAGACATGTGAGTAATGTTTGAAAAGTGCATAAATTTACGATTTTTCACCTATGACGATATAGGCGAAATAGGCTTTTTTCAGCAATGGATTACACATAATTTTAAAATTTTGTACCCATC